AAAATTAAATGGGTCCATTGTAATGGTTGGTCCGAATATCTATGCAGCTCCACTAGACCGGATTATAACTACTGAAAATTTACAGGTTCACGTAGCAATTAGCATCATATGTGGGGCCGTGCGCAACGAAGAATTTGTTGGCCGTTTCCTCGGTGGACAGAAAAAAAAAAAATCAGTTGCAGATTTTCATGATTTAAAAATAAAATAAAATATATATATAATAAACAAAAAAAAAATGATTTAGGATGCGGTGGATGAGATCGTTCTTTCCTTAGTTAGATGTCTTGAATTTGAGTTTGGATGTAGAAAAATTCTTCATAGAGAACTTTTTTCTCAAATGGGGCTGTAGACATTAAAATTTTGTGGGACTAAACAAGACGTGTTCAAAATTACAATGTCTATTCGATTTCAATTAGGATTTTTGGATAATATTCAACTCTAAATTCTAGTTTATGTCTATATAAATGTACTAAATTCACTCGAATATTCTACAAATTCATAGAATAATCATAAAGAAATAAAATTCAAATCATCCTAGTTCGAGAAATGAAATCAAGGATCAGCAAATATGCAATTTGAATTAATCGAATATCAATATAAATACTGAAGTGAACAAGAAGCAAGTCCGAAATTTGAATTAATTGAATTTCGATATGATTATTGAAGTAACAGTATACCAAATAAAAAACAAAATTTATGGCACTGCAGTGCACACTTGCTCCTCTATAAGAAGCAAACAAAAAGATGCAGACTATAATCATAAACGAGTCCCAATATCAAATTTAATTTATTACTTCATCATCGTCTGCTTTTAGAAAATACAAAAAAAGGAGAAAAATTTAATCACGTCACATTTTAGCAATTGTTAGATAAGAGTTGGGCCAAATTACAACTGCATAATCTAATTCAGTTTCAGAGAGAAGAAACGGTTATAAAATTGAAGATTTTTTTATTGGGGGAATTATTATAAATAAATATATGGATTTCTGGCCAGAGTTTCTAGCAAGTAGTTGGGGAAAAGAATTTGTGGCTGGCGGATTCGGAGGAATTGCAGGTATCGTATCTGGTTATCCTCTTGATACCATTAGAGTCCGTCAACAGAGTTGTACGCCTGGCTCTGCTTTCAACATCCTCCGCCATGTTGCCGCCACTGAAGGTCCCCTGGCTCTCTACAGAGGCATGGCTGCTCCTCTCGCTTCCGTCACATTTCAGGTCATTCCTTTGTTTCTACTCGGCTTATTTGTTCAGTAATTACGGCTTCATGACAGTTCATGTGCTTCAGAAATTGTGTATAGTTATTTTTGTATATTAAAATTGAAGTGGTAATTGGAGTTCATAAATTTGAAATTCTGAATTCGCATCCGAAAACATATATATTGGATAGGTGTAAAATGGATGTTTATTCATATGTGTTAATCGGACTTCTCCCCGGAGTTTCTCCTAGCTAGGCTTATCAGTTATCACCAGGGGTGGAGCAGGTGGAGTCAGTCAAATTCAGTAGATTATATTCGAATTGTACATTTGAGTTAATAAATTCATTAAATATGTATTATCACTTGAATGGTTCAGAATCCATAAAATTGAAATTCTTGTTTGGTTGCGTATCACCTGCTCTGTTTCTCGCCGAAGATGAGGAGTCAAAAAATTTCTTGCAAAAAATTGTGTCACAGTCACAGAAGGCAAACATCGTAAAGGATTGAGATGGGTATTACGTGGAGATGAGTGAAGAGGTCCAATAACACGTAATGGTTATATTTTGTATACCTACCAAAACAAGAGAGATAGAGACTTTGGGGTCCTCAAATGGATTTTTTTACGTTCACGGAACTAATACCAAATTAAGCTTGCTTAACAATAATAATAATAATAATAAAAGTAATAAATATTAGAATTTAGAGACCACGAGTCTCCTACATAAATAAATATAATCACTTGTTTCCTATTACAATTTGTTAATGTTTTATAGTACTAATTGTTTGTTGACTTGCATTTGTGATGGAGTCTTAGTCATCAAATCTTCATTCATTGGTGATTCATATCCGTTTGTGGAAGAAAATAAGGGAATTAAGTCATTAATTAGTAATTAGTTATTCTAGAAGGAAAAGGATGGGACATTCTCAAATGACATGAGCACTGAAACATCCTTTATTTTATTATAAACCATTTTCCCCACATCACCCATTCTGTTTAGATGGTTGTTACATATTGTTAATAGTGTATCGTATTGTATTGTCTGGATAAATATAATGTATATATAGATTATATTGTTTCTTGTCGTTTCATAATGTCATGCACCAGCAATATGAAGGATAAACTTATATTAAAAAAAAAAGGATACGGAGTAAAGTTAGAAAGAGTAGGATAAAGGGTAAAATAGGACCTACAAACTCTAGGATAAAAGGTAAAATAGGACCTACAGGCTCTAGGGGTTCAAGAAACAGACCTGACAAATATGCAACAATACTCCATCAAAAACCGGGAGCAGCTAAATGGATATTCATAACAAGATTAGCTATAGTGAACATGCTTACATACCAAGTATAGGTTAATGAACTGGGGTGTCACAGATAACCAACAGTGTGTCTTATGTAATGGGGTATTGAGTCAAGTGAACATCTTTTTTTTACTTGTGATTACTCTAAAAACATATGACATATGGACACAGCTGTTATGTTGGCAAGGAATAACTAGAGACCAACTAGCACTTGACAAGAGGAGCTTGAGTGGGCCAACAGAAATGCACGAGGAAAAGGAGCAGCAACCACTATCATTCGAATGAGCATTGCAGCTGCAGTTTACTACATCTGGATGGAAAGGAATAATCGGGTCTTCCAAGTTAAGTCCAACAAACCACACATGGTAACCAAAAGAATAGTGCAAGAGAGATGTTCGAAGCATAAGCTTACAAACAAACTAGTAGGACTAGATCACTATACCTAGACTTTTTCGTAGATATGTAGTCTTTGGAGAAATGATTGTTAGTTGTGTTCATTGTTTGGTTGCCACACCAATACGGATTTGTACTGAATGTTAACACTTTTGGTAATAAAATAAGTTTAATTGCCAAAAAGAAAAGAAGGTAAAATAGGACTACTAAACAAAAAATAAGAGCAAGATGAGGAGAGAAATAGGTAACATTCGATTGCACCAAAATTAAAGTTATAATCAAAACAAACATCGTATATAAGGTAAAAATATAATATATAAGTGAAGATGGGCTGTCAACTGGAGTATTATTCACTTCTCAGGAGAACATACACTATAGGCTTAAATTGCATTTCATGCATAATTTGATATTTTATTTTTTTGCAACTTTAGCTAATTAGCTGCTACAGTTTGGTACAAGTTTGCTACATATGAACCGGAGCAAATGTTCAACTTGAGACATGTCATTCATTGTTGTTCTTGTTTGTAAGACTAATCGATATAGAGTCTAATAATCCCAGAACTTAATTAATTTCTACAATGTGTAAAATAGTTTCTTTGCTATTGCAGAATGCTATGGTATTTCAGATTTATGCAGTGCTATCGCGAGCATTTGACAGGAATGCTCCAGCCAGTGATCCACCCTCCTACAAAGGAGTGGCCTTAGGTGGATTTGGAACAGGAGCATTACAAAGCCTAATGCTCACTCCTGTCGAACTTGTGAAAATTCGACTGCAGTTGCAACAGAGAAATATCCTGGATAACAAAAAACAAAAAACAAGTTGTAAGGGTCCAACTGATGTGGCAAGAAACATATTCAGACAAGAAGGATGGAGGGGAATTTATCGCGGATTAACAATTACAGTCCTCAGAGATGCACCAGCTCACGGCCTATATTTCTGGACATACGAGTATGTTAGAGAGCAACTTCATCCAGGATGTCGTAAGAATGGTCAAGAGAGCTTTAGAACAATGCTTATAGCAGGTGGTCTTGCAGGAGTAGCTAGCTGGATATGCTGCTATCCGCTGGATGTTATCAAAACTCGATTCCAAGCTCAGTCACAATCTACACCATTGAGATATACTGGCATTGTTGATTGCTTCAGGAGAAGTGTGAAACACGAGGGATACAATGTGCTCTGGCGAGGTTTGGGAACTGCAGTTGCCAGAGCATTTGTAGTGAATGGGGCTATATTCACTGCCTATGAAACTGCCTTAAGGTGCCTTTTCATCAACAACAACAATAAAGTTCACGCGAATATTCAAACTGAAAATGCATTCTAATACCGGAGTAAGTAGTCATTGAGTTGTGTTGTCTCATTTTATATTATTCATTATAGCAATTGTATGGTTTATACCTCAAGCTGAAATGTAATATTAGTCTTTTCTTATCAACTTGACTTCCTGTGGACATGGTTTAATTATAATATTTCGTCACTTTCTGTGAAATGTAGCTTTCATGTATGTAGTATACTCCAAAGGCTTCTAGGATCTGGGCTTCAGCCATTATAGGTGTTGAGATAGCCTTCTTGATCTCTTCAATTAGACATACGTCCGCCATGGGCCTTATTTTCTTTCTTGTTATGAGATTTAAATGCTCTTAGACGTTTATTTAGCAGCATAAATGACAGAAATGTGTTGCAATTTCTCTTTAGGTTTGCAGATGGTAAAGATCATTGATCGCTCTGCTATATTGAGACTTCTTGAAACAAATTACAGCCAAAATATTAAGGATGAATTATACTTATAGTGTCAAATAACTTACTTGACATTGTAAAGAAACCTGCTCAAGAAATACAGATCGAATAGGGTTGATTCCTCATATGGTCATTCAATTAATAGTTGCCAACTCAGAAAGTCACTTTTCTTCTTGATTCCAATTTTCTGAGATAATAACTACTAGTTGAGTGATTAACTCAGATTTAATAAGGTTTTCTGAAAATTTTCAATATAGAAGTCCATGGCATGGCAATTAACAGACATAAAGAAGTTAGCTAAGCTCGAAAACTTTCATTAGTAAGCAAAAGACATTTTCTCTGTAGTTTCTAGAGCTTAATAGGACCAAGACTTCACATTTAACTGTTGACATTGATGAATGTCTGTGGAAGTGATAACTCATTATACATGTCCATGAAATACCTGTCAACAATGTCAAGGTAAACTGGACATTTTAGGTAAGAGTAGTAGTAGAGCACTTCTTTTATGTCCATCATTTGATCCAAATCTTCCTCATCCATCATCTCTAGTTCCTTCATCTTCTGTACTAATACCTCACCTTTACTTGTGTTTCGAAGGAATGCATCTTCCATTTTTTCTCTCTGTTCTTTCATTGTGTTGTTTACTGATTCTTCGCGAATGTTCTTTCTCTGTGGAACTTCGTTTTGGTTACTACATTCCCATTGTTGAGGAAAGTCTCTGTAGAAATCATCCAATTCTTGAATAATGCTGTTTGGAATTCGGTTGCTACGAGAGAAGAAGGGATTGAAGTGACAAACTTTAGGTAACTTGTGATGACTTTTAAAGAGAAATGAATTGAGATTATGTAGTGTTTTGAGGAAGAGGTTCTTGGTCTTTTGAAAGGTTTTCTTAAACAGCATTTGTGGCTTTCTGTACACCTTCCCCATGTGGCTTTTATCTTTCTTTATCTTCTTAGCAAGAGATAATGCAACTTGTTTCCCTCCTTAAATTTTAGATGTCCAAATAGTTTTCAACATGTACTGATGAAAGTGATGGGGACAAGGGCATTCTCTTCTTTTTTTTTCTCTTGACTTCCTTGCTTTAATTGTGTTCCCCAATATATCTTTCCCTTTTTGATATTTTGGCCAACTTGTGTGCACTTCGACTAGTGTACTCTGAGTACATGCTATGGTATTTTGGCCAACTTGTGTGCTTCGACTTGTGTACTCTGAGTACATGCTACCTATCACCAACAAGATTTTGGATAACTCTGTCAACCAAGGTTTAGGTAATTAAATTAGAAGAGATCGCCTGATATTTTTTTAATTACTAGAAATTCGGAGCCTTTGTCTCCGAGAGCTGGCCTAGGAGCGTCATCCTTATTCTATATCTTTTCTATTTGCGTGATATTCTTTTGACTATATTAATGCTGCTGAAAGTGTTGCAGCATTCATTATAAAGAAAAAGGGAAAGTTGATCAGTGAGTTGGAGGATGCTTAAAGTAATTATTACCTATAATTAAGCATACCTAAATTACATTCAGTACAGTTTGAGACAACTGGGCCCCAAGCAATACATGAAATAAGGCCATAATTTCCCTTTAATCGAGTAATAAGTACTGTCTGTATCAATTGTATCAAGTGCTTTTTTTTAAATTAAAGAGCTGTCTTTTGGGCCCCAATCTATAAAAGGATTGGTATAATGTTGGTTGAATAGGGTAAGAGGCCAAAACTGACGGAAATGAGATGAGCCTCGTCTTAATACCTCTGCTGAAGGAAACCTCCTTTTTTTTAATAATTGTGGCGTTCGTATCAACTTGCATGCGTCCACCAAGACTTGTACAAATAGAAAGAACTCCCCTGATATTTTTTGCTTCCGCTGGAATTTTTTGACCTGAGGACTGTGTGGGACTTAGTGGTTAATGAAGTGGGGTATTTAAAACCTCTTCTTCTCTGTAAACTGTTTGAGGAAAACTACAGCAGTTTTGTAAGTCATGACTACAGCTGAATCACAAAATTGCAATAATTTTACTCTGTATCTTTTGTTACACTGATAATTAGAAGGTTCACGAGTTTGGCAGTAAAGCTGCGGATATCATACAACAACAATAAGCAAAGTGCAGACCAATTTTGATCAGTGCACACGGGAATTCAGTTAAACATATATAACAATCATGAAAATGATTTGGCAGATTAATTCAATATATAATTTATCATAACTGTACATCCCAAAATTAGTGCATCAATTTTAGTTGATACAAAAGGTTCATCCCTGTATAAACCCACAACTTATTAACATTAACAACTTGTGCCTCAATACAAAACTTCATCAGGTCTGCAATTTTGGCCACGACCTCTTACTGGTTGTCCTCTTTGCCTTTGTGGAACTTGAAGAATTGATGCAGCAGCCTCTGAAGTTCTCCATAATTCTTTGTTCCAGAAACAAGACAACCTTTAATCCACTGGGGGAGCTTGTTGGTTGAGTGTGAGGAGTTTCTTTCAGAAGGATCATATGTATAGCGTTTATCAACTAATAGGATGGCAGCATAGTCGTTAATATGCCGAATTGCTCTACCTACAGCAGATTATTGAAAAGCACTGGAATATGAAAATCCACATAAAGCATATGAACAAGCTAAAGGACTATTGAAAGTGGCTGTTCATTATATCAATTATTAAGTTATATTTAAGGATCAAGATATCTATATTAGGAGTAAAGGAAAGTCTGTGAGATCATAGTTAACAGGGGGGGGGGGGGGTTGT